AAATAAATCACAGGAGGGCTAATAATTTTGACTTCAACTGTATGTAAGGTTGAACGTATTTAATAATGACGGAAGTGGTGTTAGTGAGACCAGCAGGAGGCACTTGACCTGTGGTCTGTGTGGGCCCTAATGCCCCAGTTTAGTGAAGGGGACTCTATACTGCTCAGTGAGCGCCGTCTTTTGGATAAGAAGTTAAACTGAGGTCCTGACTCTCTGTGGTTGTTAAAAATCCTAGGATGTCTTTCGAAGAAGGGCTTTAATCCCATCATCCTGGCCAAATCTATCAACTGGCCTTCATTTTCACATATAGTTGATGTCAGAATCATTAGCCCCCATTTGACTATTTTTTCTTTTTTAAATATTTCCCAAGTGATGTTTAACAGAGCAAGGAAATTTTCACAGTATGTCTGATAATATTTTTTTATTCTGGAGAAAGACTTATTTGTTTTATTTTAGCAAGAATAAGAGCAGTTTTTAATATTTTAAAAACCCTATCAGGGTAAATTATTAGCGCCTTTAAGCTATATCTTTTTCGATAGTCTACAGAACAAACCAGTTAAGCCAGCATGATCTCACGAGAAAACGTAAGTATTTTAAATTTTGCCAGTTTAGTGGCTAATTCGTACGAATTTGTATGAGTTCAGTCATACGAAATTGTACGATTTTAAAAAGGAGGCATGGCCCCTAACCCCACCCCTAAACCCAACAGTCATTGGGGGATAAGCAAGTCGTACTGAATTAGATTGTACGAATTCATTCTAATTAGCCACTAAATCAAAAAGTTACGAATTGCTGTGAGATTGTGTTGGTTAAGCCTTTAAATGCCACTTTAAGCTGTATAGAAGTGTCTTAAAATATCTAGTAAAATATTATTTACCGTCATCATGGCAAAGGTAAAATAAATCAGTTATTAAAAATGAGTTATTGAAACTATTATGTTCAGAAATGTTGAAAAAAATCTTCTCTCTATTAAACAGAAATTGGGGGGAAAATAAACAGGGGGGCTAATAACTTAGGGGGGCTAATAACTCTGACTTCAACTGTATGTTGATTTTTTACATGTAAGAAGGTGTTCAAGAGAATAGATAAATATTTGGCAGGAAAAATGTGAACATACGTTTCATAGCTTGAACACATGGCTCAGTCTTGGCAAGGCAGATAATGGAAATCTCAACAGGGGGTCAAAGTACACAGTGGCTCATGTTATTTAATGCTGTTTTAATGTTTCAATGCTATTTTCTATATTTAATTTTTTATTTTATTTTGTATATAAAACAATAAAAAGTAATAAACAAAAGAATATGCCATCATCATCATGTAATCAAATTACATTACATATTATTATATAAATAATTAAGTTTAAAACACTTTTCACTCAGTGAACTAGACATGAGTGGATCCTGTAACCTTTCACCTGGCCTTTAATAAATAAATCAATAGAATAAAATCAATCAGTCAGTCAATGGGTTTTATATTTTCAGAACATGTGTTGCTTTTTAATTAACAGTGCCAATGGCGTACAGTAATAAAAACCACAGCAATCTTTTTGTCATCTGCATGCTATATGTTTAGTTAGGAAATATAGCCTCACAAAGCTGTGTTTTGACTATAAGACTTGAGTTACAAGTTACCTTAGGGAAATCCCTTTTTAATCAGCGCAATACATATTTGAGTAAACATTGTCCTGACAAGGAGTTTAGAAAGAATGGAGGGTTTGTTCTTCGATTGGGTGGAGTGTTTGTGTGTGTGCTGGGGGAACAACCGTCCTTGGCTCCTTATATTTCTCATTCATCTCTCACATCACATGGATGACTGGCACTAACTGAAAACACACACAGGCTAGGTTCTGTGACCAGCAGTTCAGGTTCAGAGAGCTGCTTTACACGCAGCAAGACAAAGACAAAGCAGCTGTAAGTGATATATCCGACCACATTTTTGACAGTGCATTTCGAGTGGGAAATTAGATATCCTATATTGTTATTTTGCATTTATACATATGCCTATCAAATGTTATCTGGAACTAAACCTATAAACAATAGGTTAACCTAAAAATAAAAATAAATAAATGCTAAAAATGTACACACCTAAAGGTCATCAAATATATGAGAGACTTCAATTTTTAATTGCTTAAATTGCTACTAGCATTTTTGGAGAGTCAAAAACATACAGGGAAAACATAATTAATACCCGTGGCTCTAATAAATTACAAGTCTTATAAAGCCAAAAATGTACCCCCTGAACATTGTTTATTTAATATTACATAACCAATAATACACAACACAAATGGCAGGATGGATTCACAACATGTCTTCCAGTCATAAGTTTATGCATATGTGTGGGTCCGCAATAGTCACATCGCAAGATATGCAATTTTGTGCTGGGATTAGATGATCAAGAACAACAGGTCAAAACACGTGGGATTTGTGGAGACTGTGCAAAATTTAAGCATATTAGAGTAAAAGTTGATTATCTGCATGTGTTTTTAAATCATTTTAACAGAAGCATAGGGAAGTTAAAAAAGTTAAAATTCATTTTATTAAAAAATTTATATGATGAAGACTATGCATTGTTAATTTACATTTGATTTTTCAATTTCTGTACCCGAGTACTGTTAGACCACCAGTGAACTATAAATCACTGTTTAGTTTACTTTAATATTTGCTCCATTGTGTTTATTTTTGACTGTATTTGGTTAATTATATGTATATAATAAATTACATAAAAATATATTTATATTTCACTCCCCTATCATCCCAATCAATCTAAAGTCTTTGCAAAAAGAGTTATTCAAGTCATCTGGTGAAATTATATTGTAATATATATATCGCGGAAAAAATATACTTTGCAATGTTAAATTTTTCCAATATCGTGCAGCCATAACTCACACTCAAGTGGTTCTACACTTTTATGTATTTCTTCTGTTAAATACAAAACAAGATATGCTAAAGAATGTTGGAAACCAGCAGCCATTGACATCCGTATAGCGACATAGCATACTCTGTAAAATATCTTCTTTTGTATTCAACTATTTAAATGCTCTTCTGAAGAAAAAAAAAATCACCTTATCTTTGATGACCGTAAGTGTTTAATATTCTTATCATTGGCAGGTAGGGCTGCACTATATATCGTTTCAGCATCAATATCGCAATGTGCACATCCGCAATAGGCACATTAAAAGATATGCAATGTACAGTCTGAATTATAGTTGAGCAAGAGCTACAGAATTCTATTTAATTACTGTATTTATTTATGCAAAAAAATGTGATTCTCGTTTCTAGTCCAAATATCTACATTTCAAAGTAAAAACAAGTTTATTTGGCTTATCCCACTGGCAGATAATTTAGCTTGTTTAAAGGAAAAATTCTTAAGTTTGTCCTATTTCTTCTGAAGTTGAAAACAAAACAACATTTTTAGAAGATTAGGAGATTTTCTGGATATGTGGACGAGAAACGAGATAAAGCAAAGTAAAAAAGTATATTTTGCATTGTGATTATTCAATTTCTGTCCCTGAATACGGCTGGGCTGCCCAGAAGACGGTCAAATAGAGTCATTCATGGTATTTTGTAAAACTTTATTCATATCACAATATATTTAGCAGAAAAATCAAATATCACAATGTTAGATTTTTCCAACATCCTGCAGCCTTAGCAGGGTCTTAAAAAGCGCATAATGTATGCATTCATAAATTAACCATGTAGTAAAAGTGCAGCAACCAAAATATTGATTGTTTACATGTACCTAGGTTTTACTAAATATCTATGTTTGGTGTTAAAAAGCACAAATAGTGTGGTTTTTTAACAGCAACAACCATTTTTACTTGTAAAACCATTCTTTTCAGTCAAGGAGCAAAAAATTAAATTAAATCCTCTTTGTGGCACCCTTATAATCGTAGCTTATTTCCTGTTTGATTAAAGTGATGGCGAATACCGTGTTATTTTAGTAGCACTAACAGTGATTATAGTTCACATTCACCGTGCAGCTGCTCCAAAATGTCCGCACACAGCGCATGAAATGGCCAAATTTAATAGACTACTGTACTGTAAGTAGCCTAACTCAAGTTCCATTACGCTGTTTATACACGCAGTTTACTGTGTATTACAGGACGTCATTGTTTTGCACAGGTTCTTCCGATTCATAATGGAAAGTATGTGTTGCTGTTTGCGCAGTGTACACTCTTTATATACTTCAGATATTGCAACCATCCACTCCCGTTCAGAACCCAGCAGCCACCACGTGATGTTTTCGCAAGCTGTATCTGTTGTTAATAGAGCAAACGCTCAAAACAACCATAAAACATTCCTGCTGGGGCAAGTTTTTATGAATGGCATTTTTCCTTCCTCGACTTTCCCCCTTTTTGTGAATGAAAAACAACTGGAAACGTACTAGGGAAAACCCTTGGGATTCTCAAGCGGCGATTGGCTAAAAGAACGCCAGCTCCGCCCTCGGTTGCTAAACCTCGATTGTGATTGGCTGCAAAGAGCAGAGAGGTTTCATTCATAATGAAGGACAAAGAGAAGAAATTTGAGCTATTGAAAGAGAAAATCCACCAATCAAAGTCCTCCAAACTAAGCGAACATCCAACAGCAAGAAGAGCAAGCTAAAGTCAGGAGTATAGTTTAAGAAAAGTGCTTATTATTATTTCATTAAACAACCTCTTGTCCACGCATAGCCCTACACACAAACAATCCAAACCAAAATAACAACATGCTTGAAATGGTATTAAACTTAAGCTAAAATTGAAGTGTTAAAGCAGACATATTTAAATTTATCATGACTAAACTAATACAAAAATAAATGTAGGTTATAATACTTTGTATAATATTTATAAAAAAAACTTCAATATAATACATAACAACAATATCGCGTTTTATTGGCTAAAAGAACAGCGACCCTTTCACTAAACCACCATAATCTTATAGCGAACGTGGCATATACATCAGCTAGTTGTCATTCTCCGCAAAATCCTGAGTAAACTCCCAGGACAATAGCTTGGCACAAATGAAGCAAAGAAGAGGTCTCGAGCTGTCCAAACAGTGATTTAGCAGAGCCTAGAGTGTGTGTGTTTATACGCACGCTGGTGGTTTTTTTGTGAATGGAGCTCATTACGTATGCAGCCTTCTCGCGCTCCATTCACAAACTACCGCTGCTGCTGCTGCCTCTGTCCGTCTTCCTTCCCCTCTCAGTCTGCGTGGAGCTCATTAAAACACAGCCTAAATGACCACAAACGGTTAAGGCATGGATTATAAGATGGATGGATATCTGGACCAGCAAGTGCCTTATACTTTAGCTAATGTGAGTATGGCTTTATTCACTTCAAAGCTTTGTTGCGCTTCACGCGGGGATGTTGTGCTGTTTCTCTGTCGTCGTTGCATGTGATTCGTTTTAAGCAAAAGCGCCGTTGCGATCAAAACTGTTTTCAGTTTGGGGCTGAGACAAAGTTAAACTTGCCTAGGAAATACTCTGTTTGTCTTTACGATGTACGCTGTGCTTACAAGGTAAACTTTAATCCTTTCTTTAAACGCAGTTCTGAAAATTGAGCTTGAAAGGAAATCAAAACTTCCCTTTTCGGGATGCTTGGATTGTCAGTATTTGCTGATGTAAAAGGCAATGCTCTGAAATCAGTTTTGATGTTGAATGGGCATCAGCTTATAATATATTTTAGTGAAAATAATTCGCAATGCACTGCATTTTTGTACCTTGTCATAGTGAATTGTAACAGTTACATTTTTAATGTTTATTTTACATGGTTGGGTTATTTAGAGTGAGTTTTAAAATAAAAATCAATCTTCATGATTCTAAATTCTTCTTCATGAGTATGTATTTTCACTTACATAATGTAGTTTCTGTTTTGTAGAGGTCGCAAGGAAATGGGCCCCTAAATAGACTGTTGATGGCGACAAAAAGGAAATACATGGACGCAGAATTACCCCCTCAGGAATCTGAAGGTAAAATAACAAGCAAGTTTAGAAAATTGTATATTTTTATTTTACATTTACACTTGCTCAATAGTAGCTTAATATTGTCAGTTTCAGGTAAATCATGTCTTTTTATGTGGACTGTTCAGCTATAATAACATGATTTAGCAAAAACAAACAACATGTAAGACCTATTTTTTTAATAAACAAATGAGCAAGAAAAGAAAATTCTTTTTATATATATATATATATATATATATATATATATATATATATATATATATATATATATATATATATATAAGAATATGTCATCAAACTAATTATTTCTGTTCCTTTTCAGACCTCTTTCAGGATTTAAGCCAACTTCAGGAGACCTGGCTCACCGAAGGTATGCCTCTATTTTAAGCATGTATTATGTGTCTTTATTGCAATAAATATGTCCCTCTAGCGGCAGTGGGAAAGGAAATATCACATGAAACATGCTATAGCAAGTGCGTATACTTGGTGAGAATTACAAAAACAAAACATAAACAACAGAAAGACATTCAGGCTGTGGTGGCCTATTTGCAGAGTAAGTCAAACAGCTGTTACAAATCATTCATGTTTTCAGTTTAGAGAGAATAAAAAAAATATTTTTAATAGCCGTGATAGTCCATACAGTAAGATTAATTTAGCCATGCATCAGCACAATTGTCATGTAAACTTACTGTTGCAAATGTGCTGCTTTTGTAAAGTGCACAGAAAAAAAATTGCCTTGATTGCACAATGCTGCTGGTTACGTTTTATTCGGAAAGTCCTGACAATGGCTCTTAAAGCCAGTACACCCAGGCAAAGCAAACAAACAGCATCAAAGCTGGACAGTCAGGAGGCAAATAGTTGAAATGAACCCTGCCAGAAACAATTTACTGTGTACATGTCAGAGTGTGGAGAACACAAAGGCTGCTCTCAATGAGACCGGGTGGCTGGATCCCCGCTGTTCTGAATGAATTATACATCTGTCCCATTCAAAACCCCTATGCAGATTTTACGATAACAATTACGAGGTGAAATAAATGCAGTTTTATTAAAAAAAAAACATGTACAAATAATATACAACATTACTTTTGTTTATATTAGTGAAACTCTTGTATGATTTTATTTTATGCTTTATTATAAATTAAAACCGTCTTGCTGTAATTGCATGCACTGAATATGACATATGGCAAATGAAAGAAGCAAAATCTTTAAAAAAAATAGCTAACAGTCTTACATTTAGGAATTAATTAATTAAAGAGATAATGCAATAATACTAGGGATGCTCCCATCAGGATTTGAGCCGATATCGAGTACCGATACTATGTCATGGTGATCGGCCGATACCAAGTACAGATTCTGATGCTCTGATGATCTTCTTCGACTTAACCCATAAACAAACACTTGTGATCAGTTTATGAGATTAGCCAGATATGAGAGTACCAATAGAGTCATAAAATGTGATTATCGGCTGATACCAATCTCAGGTCGTTCGATTGGAGGATCCCTAAATAAAACTGTAAACATATTTGCATTATGCATGTTTAATTTCTTAATGTATATATGAAAATCAATTGGATTGATTTGTCCTTCTTTCTAGTAGATCGACTCTTTAATTAAAGTTTTCCTCAAACTATTGTACAGCACACATTCTTGTCTGAGGACAACTTTTTTGATCCCTTTTAAATATTGATTATATAAAAACAACATTTTTTTTCAACCATTTTTTCTTTTAATATTAGGGCAGTTACTCTTGTCTGGGATCCCAGTCATAAGATAAATGCTCTTTATGGGCTTTTTAAAGTGCAACCAGAATAAGAGTTGTCTATAAACTGTGTCATGCTCATCTGCTATTACTATTAATCTTATTTTGCATTTTTTTTATCCCTTTCAAATGTTGACTATACAAAAACAACAATTTTTAAATTAAATATCAGGGCAGTTGCACCTGTCTGGGGTCCCAGTCATAAGTTACAGTTGAAGTCAGAATTATACTAAACCCGTGAATCATAACCCCCCCCCCCCCCCCCCCCCCCGTTTATTTCTTCCCCAATTTCTGTTTATCGGAGAAAAGATTTTTTTCAACACATTTCAAAACATAATAGTTTTTATAACTGATTTATTTTATCTTTGCTACACTGGCAGTAAATAATATTTGACTAGATATTTTCAAGACACTTCTATACAGCTTAAAGTGACATTTAAAGGCTTAACTTAAGTAGGTTAATTAGGCAGGTTAGGCTAATTAGGCAAGTTAGTGTATGCTGATGGTTTGTTCTGTAGACTATCGGAAAAACATATCTAGCTTAAAGGGGCTAATAGTTTTCACCTTGAAATAGTAAAAAAAAAAAAAAAAAATGTAAACTCCTTTTATTCTAGCTGAAATAAAACAAATAAAACTTTCTCCAGAAGGAAAAATATTATCAGTCATAATGTGAAGATTTTCTTGCTCTGATAAACATAATTTGGGAAATATTTAAAAAAGAAAAAAAAAACAATTAAATAGGGGATTTAATAATTCTGATTTCAACTGTATATTCTCTTTATGGACTTTTTAAAGTGCAACTAGAATAAGAATTGTCAATCTGTGTCATGCTCATCTGCTATTATTATGCAGCGTCAAACTGTGAACTTCACACATCAGTTAGGAAACAGAAGACGCAATGACCATAAACCAAAAACAATAGAGACCCGTTGTACAACAAGTACACAGAAATTTACCAGGTGGAGCAAAATAGAGTAATGTTGGCACTTTAGCTGCTGCAGTTTGAACAAAGAGATTGTAGTATTTTTAGAGCAGCTTCGTTATTCTCACACAGTTGCTTTTTAAAGGTGGCCACATTGTTGCTGGTCTTGAACTTTTCTTTCTTCTGTTCTGTTTGGGAGGGATGGCTTATAATCAGGTGATTATGATGAGTAATTCATCATATTGTTGAAACAGACACCGCTCCAGGGATTTTACACTTTAAAGAGTAAGATAAAACATAGGCAATAGTTGTTAATAGAAAAGCTTGTCCAGTCATGTGAGTAATCTTTACATTTGAAGACAGACCTCCTGGCTCCTCCCAGGATCTGCCGAACTAAAAAAAAAAAAAAGTCATTCAGGTTCCCTCAAAGAGAAAAAAAAGGAAACATGTCTCCATGCCTGCGCAGACAAACTTTGGTCTTGTGCTGACTTGCATTTCAAAGCCCTTGACAAGATGTTCCTGGAAGCTCACTGACTTGAAACAAAACGCATACACAGACAGACACTCCCACAGATGTACACAGACACACACGTTCTGATGTGACCATGTATGCGTTCACACCCACACACACAAACCCACACATCAAATTAGGCTGATAGACATCAGGTTGGTCACAATCAGCCTTGAAGCTCTAAAAAGCTTGAGCGACTCGCATTAAGCCAATTTTGTCAAAAAATTGCATGTGCTTCTTTTCAAAAAAAAAAAAAAAAAAAGTTGAAGCATGTTTGAATGATTTATTGCTTGATCTGGAGGGCCAAAGATTGGACTCATAAAAAACAGCCTTACTAATCCTCCTCGAGGCAGAAAAGAAGAAAACTTAAATGGCTCTAATATAATTACAGTATAGCAAGAGGATAAGAGCAGCATCTTTGAAATTAATGTAATTTCTTTGAGCATGCTCAAAAGGGCATCAGTACTGTTTCCGTCACACAGGAAGTGCCAGATTAATGTTAAAGAGATGGATTTAAATCTCCTAACATTCTGGTTTCTGTGTTTATGGTCGGCAGGCTGAAAAGAGAGCGGGAATACATCCAAGTAAAAAAAAAAAAGTTAAAAGCGTTACTGTCGTACACAAGCACACATGACTAAGAGCTGTTGCACATCAGGAATAAAACAGAACAGTGGGCAAAGAGGAAGAATAAAAGTTTCTTTTGCTTGTGCAAAATACATTGAAAGTTTGTTGGTTTTTCCATTTAAAACCATGATAATTGTTTAACTGTACATGTACTATAGATATTATTAATGTTGTTGTTAGTATTTTATTATTATAAGGTCTGAACTTTACATTTGCATCAAAGTCAGGCTTGAAGGGTAATATTTTGTGATGCAGATAAGTTGTTTTGGAATTAGTCTAATTTAATTGTGCAATTAAGTTGCGAAAATAATCATATTTTGAAAAAAAAAAAAGTGGACAAGAAATGGAAACACAAGCTGTTATTGCTTTGATCAGTACTGCTACATTTGAGCTGCTTTATTCAAGGACAACTTAATGTGGCAGTTTCTGTTTAATATTTTATTCTAACATAATAACAGAGATTTGTCTGGCAGTATTGAGTGGCAGTCCTTGGAATTCTATTGCATTATTGAACCAGTCTGTGAATCTACAAATCCACAAAAACTGGACTCAGCAAAATTATATGTCATTATAAATACCTTTTATAGGACATTATTGATTGTTACTGTACATTATTATGCAATCGGTATAGGAGACATATCTATTGCTTGGGTCTGTAAATTTAATCCAGCAACCTTTTAAAGAACATTTGAGTTTTACAGAATCTATTCCTTTTTAATTTGTCCACAAACATCTAAGAAATGACTTGCACACAAACCTTTCCTTCTCTAAAGCTTATTAAAATGTTAAAAACTGGACTCTTCTTATACTTTCCCTTACACACTTATCTTCTCTATTCTTTCGCTTGCTCTCTTTCTCTCTTCAAACACTTATTGCATGACCTTAAAAGCCAGCGTTCAAAGACTTCAAAGCAGGTGATGAATTCCAGAACACTTCACCAAGCAGAGCTCATCAACATTGTCTGAGAATGTCCTTCAGTTTTTTTTTTCTTCAGTGTGCGCGCAGGGAAAGACATTTAGTATTAACAGTACACTGCTACATTTAGTCTGAATTGAATCTCTTCTTATTCGGTTGAAATATGCTTACAATGTATAGGCGAGGTAATGGGCTACATTAGCTCGAAAGCCTGTAAATCCATCAGCAGGATTGAGCTAGAGTGTTGGTTGATTGGTAGGGGGGAGGATATCATATCTTGTGGTCTGACATTGATCACCCCTTATTATGTTAAAATATGGTCTGCCCCTTTTAGATTATAAACTAAAGGGATTTTTAATGCAACACATTTGGTAGAAATCAGCCTTCTAAATTTGGTCCTTCAAATACCATTTGCTTAAAATTAGTTTATTAAAATTAAAACAATTAAATAAATTTATATGCATTTATGAATGTATTATAATTACAAAAAATAATTACTGCTTATGTGAAGTGTTTCTAATGCAGCGTCTATGGACTAAGAGTTAATGTGACGTTATTCTCTCCTCTGGCTGCTGTCATCAGTCTAACATAATTGTTCTCCTTTTTCTGAAAGTCTTGAGAACACCATCAAGCAGTTTTTCTTAGTTTAGCAAATAGGATTACAAATATATATATATATATTATATATTTGTTATTCTCTGATTCACTGTGCTCTAAGTTTACCAAGCTATGACGCCTTTCGCTAACCCGGAAATGTGAAAAGGGTCTATATTTGTAGGTGTTATTAACTTTAAAAGATAGAGTTTATTTGGTTTATTTTTTTAAAGTATTAGTTCACCACAGAATTAAATCTCACCCTCTCCTTGTTTCACAAGGCTTTCTTCTTCAGAATACAAATTTGCCAATCATCAACAAACAAAAACAAAAGCTCAACCAGACTTGTTTGAGACCTGAGAACAAACCTCATTGGGACTTAATGAAGTTTAATCATTTCGTGTGACACAGGCTAGGTTTCCATCCATCTATTTTTATTCGCAATTTTAGAATATTGCATAATCAAATGCTTAATGGAAATGGCAAGATGCACATACATTTTGAGTAGGATAAACTTTTATCAGAGAAGATAAAATGTGTGTAAACTACGATGGGACAACATTGATAGAACTAAATCCAGTATGTGCATTAAAAAAGTCATGTGATAACAGACATGAGCACTATGGGATGGCATTAATAGACCAACCAGTAGACCGACCACATTGTAAAACATCTGAAATGTTGTTTTGGTCATTGTAAAATAGTCAAAGTTTGACATCAAAGTGGTTTAGTATTATATCCCAGAACTGTCTTGAGTGGCTGCTGCCCTAGTTGGTTCTCACGCATAAAGCAACCATGTTTAATTCTTTATAACCAAATCTGAATGCTGTAAAACAACTTAAATCTGTTCATCTTATAGCGTGACGGTGTCTTTTCAGCAGACATGGATCAATCCAATGAGTTTATATGGGGTTATTTGTTAAATCTTTTAACAAAGCTTTTGAGGTGGCAAGTGTTTTAGGCAAGGCAAGTTTATTTATATAGCACATTTCATACACATTTGTAATTCAAAGTGCTTTACATAAGCAGGAATAAAAGAGACAAGTATAAGAAAATTAAAACAGCATGGAATAAAAATGAATAAAATCAGACTAATGTGTTTAAAACATTTTAAGGGAATGAAAAAGATAATGAAGACCTAATAGTGCGATCTGTCGGACGCAGCACAGTGCTCAGTCAGTAAAGGCACAGCTAAACAGATGTGTCTTCTGTCTTGATTTGAATATACCTAATGTTGGAGCACATATGATCATTTCTAGAAGCTGATTCCAGCAGCAGGGGGCATATAGCTAAAGGCGAATTTACCCTGGTTTGACTAAACTCTTGGAATTTCCAAAGATTTGAGTTATCTGTTTGTATTCAGTGAGCATATCTGCAATGTACTGAGGTCCTATGCCATTTAGTGATTTATAGACAAGTAATAATACTTTAAAATCTATTCTGAATGTAACTGAGAGTCAGTGCAAAGACCTGAGGACAGGTGTGATGTGCTCCGATTGTCTGGTTCTGGTCAGAGTCCTGGCAGCAGCATTCTGGATGAGCTGCAACTGTCTGACTGTCTTTTTGGGAAGGCCAGTAAGGAGTCTATTACAGTAATCCACCCTGCTGCTGATAAAAGCATGAACAAGTTCTCTAAGTCCTTTCTAAAAAAAATCTAATTCTTGCAATGTTTTTGAGATGATAGTATGCTGATTTAGTTACTGCTTTGACATGACTACTGAGACTCGTATCGTAGGAGAATGGATTAGATTAAAATATCTCAGATTTGATTTACAGACATTTGCGTTCTAAAGATGAAGATTAATTGTTTTATAAAGATTAAATGTAAATATAATGTAACATTATATGAAAATATATACTAAATGTATATTTAGTTCTACTTTTAACACACTGTGAGACAAAACCAGCAATGATGTCCCATCAAAAATGCGAACATAAAAAATAAGCTGAGAGCAAATTTTGATACAAGAGTAATAATAGCCCATCTACTATTCATCTGATGGAATTCAGCAGTAATCAAGATATCTGCACACACACACACACTCAGTGATGATATTGATCTGCTGCCTGTAGAAAAGTGCTGGCACATGGAAAAGTGGAGGTGAAGGTCACGAGCTGTCCAGAGGCAGTAACTCAGGTTTCACACAGATGATAAAGGGAGACACAGGCTAAGCTAATGGACAGCCCATCCCTTCTTCAAATCACAGTATTCATTTAGGCTATGTGTGCTCAAGAAAAGTGACTTGGTTTGAAGTCATATTTAAAGTCTTATCACTAAGTCAACAAAAGCTTGACTTACAGAAGCAAATGATGAAATACAGGAAAACACAAATCCAGAATACTAGATAGATTGCCTTGTTGGGCCAGATAACAGCTTGCATCAACGCAAATCTTCTTTTGGCACTAAAAACAACTATCATGATTGATATGAAAAGGGATAGTGTTATTTCTTCATATGCATTTACAGAAGTTTCCCTTTCAGATAAAACTATTTTTAGATTGAATTAAATCAAGCGTGCAAAATTAATTAATAAAGTGCACAAGAGTCATTTTACTGGCATTTGCACTTTTTAACACTCAAAAATGTCTTATTATTTTGCGCAGTGGATTACCCATACCTGATTATCATTAGTTCTGCTGTTTGCTGTTTAATTTGTGTTAAATTATCCACTGCATTAGACATTTTGAAATTAGCTGCTGCATTTGTGTACTCTAATTTACTTACTGTTTACTCACTAGATCCCTTGCATTACTTTCCAACTATTTGAAAATGTATGGGACTACTCTTTTACAGTAATTTTACTGGTGTATTTGGGGTCAACATAAGACCCCAAATTGTTTTTATTATTATTTTTTTTTATAAAATTGCATTTAAGAATAAGGTTGAGCTAAATAATAGCTTCTTAGTCATATATTCATTAACAAGAAACAGTGATTCTAGAATTGATACTAGTCAAAGATTATACTTTGTGATAAAGTCAATAATATCTAATTACAGGCTTTAGATTTGGTTAGATGCATTTCATAAAAGGATATAAATACATATATGCAAAAACCTATCAAATTAATGTAATATATATATATATATATATATAATTTTTTTTATAATGCTTATTTTAACATGTTGGTGTTCTTTGCAGCTCAAGTTCCTGACAGCGATGAGCAGTTTGTTCCTGACTTTCACTCAGAGAACTGTAAGTACTGCATCTTTTTGATTTACGTCTGATAGATTACATTAATCATCTTGAAACCCGAGAGGCTGAGAGAGCTGACAAAAACAAAAAGAGATAAAGAAAGGGAAGTAGGTTTGTCCTCCAATTATTTGTCCAAAAAGTGAGTGATTGACAAACGGCTGGAGGCTGAGGCGTGGAGTTTTTTCAGACATACGGTCCTGTTCTCAGGCTCTGTCTAACAGAAAAATGCGATATATGACCTATCACACTTATTCTGACGCATTTGGATGTTCATGTTGAAGAGCACCTTCCATTTGCATGTGCCTGAAAGACTCAATTGAGTGGCGAAGGAAGCCGGTAAAAGATCATTCAGGAGTCAAGCACAAAGATTCCCTTTTTGCGTCCGTCAGAGGTGTAAATGGGAAAGCAAATTCCTGTACCACACAATGCAAAGGCCGCCTTTTCAACTGCTTGCCTCATTTTGTTGTGTCTCCTGTCAAAGCCTTTGTGTAAACACTTCCTCTTAACCCTTTTGTTTAAGCCATTCACAACACATTGGGTTGGGCCTTTACCACGTTGGCGAGTTTGTTATGGTGACAATTTTTTCGAGGGTTACAAAGTTCACACTATGAGTCATAGATCTTGTTTTTTTCAGTAACATGAACTGGGTCGTGGCTTGCTAAAAGACTCCGGGTAGACACAATCCCAGAACTCGTGTGTGCAAACAGTGCCAGTACCCCATTCTACATCTGACCTCTAATGACAGATGCTCCCCATAACATATTGTTCTTGTCTGTTGTGCAACAATAAGGGGGAGGAAGTGGAGATGAACTCTGGGGCAGGAAGGGGTCATGTCTACTTAACCCCATCAGGACATAACCAATCACCAAAGCTCTTTGCCATTGACAGGCTTTCCTAATACTCACAGAGGAGATGGGAGTTCAGGCTGACAGGCCTGTCACATTAGTTAAGTGGAGCAAAGCTTTGACTGACAGCAATACCCACCCATTCATTTAGACGTAATGGAGTAATAACTCAAGAATTGGTTGCCATTTGAGGTCGCTCATTGAAAAAAAAAAACTTGAGATGACAAGGCAGCTATAAACATAAACATATTCCCCCACATTTGTGGTCTCTATGGTGTGGGTCAGTTTATACCACCAGCTAAGATCCAAACAGCGCCTCCTCTTTATTGCTGTGCTACATTTAAACTCACCAAGATTATCGTGACATTCAGGTGAGTCCGATGTTTTGCTAATTCGTGCCAGCATGTTACATTTCATAACTTTCTCTTGGCCTTTTCTTTATAAACACATCAGGGAAAACAAGATACAACCCAACACATAAGTGTTTTGGTTGTTTTGCCAGTCAAGTTGTTTCCCGTCTGGGCACGAGTATAAGTCTGAGACTCCGGGACAGAGCGGAATGCCAGATTAAAGAAGTGGGGGAGGTGCTGGACATGCTGTTGTGCAACACCTGCACATCTGGCAAGTCTATCCCCATTCCTCTTGTTTTTCCACATTGAGAGTCTCCATTTGGTGTAACTGTGACCCTCCGCTTGTCATTATTAGCGATAGAACTCAGCAATTTGTTCAGACTGTTTTTCACGGTGCATAAACTGTCACTGATATCTTGGGCTGTGAACATGGCTAGTTTGACTAGTTAGGGAATCATTGACATGTTAAATGCTTTCAAATCACCCCTCTGGACTTGAAAGTACACAATGCTGTTAAAAATAAGTGGCCAAAGGTAATGAATCAGAACAAAAGATCACAAAGCAAACTCAAAACTTCCCATAAACAAAAAAAAAGTAGATTTTGTCTTTTTATTTAAATGTATTTTGATTTCTGTTAACCTCAATATCACAAGATTTCAACCTGTTTTCTGTGAGGGAGTAAATCCAAGTCTAATGATGAATTAAAACGTGTAATTTAATTCATATATATTTTATATTCTAAATATATATTTGTTTTTCTTAGATTAATATTTTATAGCTATTCAAATACAATATATCAGATCCATAAAATATAAGAAATATCTTTCTATTATTGATTAGTACAAGAAGAATTTTGTCCTGTTAGTAATGGCCTTCAAAGAACAGGATTCTTTCTTCCATTCATGAAAATGCCCAAGAGCAGAAGTGACTCCACCCTCATGGTTCCTTTTTCTGAATGGAGGTTTTAACCCCACCCCCATCCTGTTTCCCCTGCAACTGTACTGAAATGTGATAATTTAGGCAGCTTTTTCTCTCCCGTTCTCTCTGTCTCAACACTGAGTGTTCCAAGATGTGAGTTAATCCTGCAAATGCGGTGTTGCGAGAGCCATTGTTTTTGTGCCTTGTAGTAATTATATAGGAAGTTGTGGCTATAAATCCAATTCCAGAAAACAGAAGTTTACAGGAGGGAAAACAGAAAAAGTCAAGAGATGTGCAATGGGATTTACAATCTCAAGATTGTTTGTATTTTGTTGCCCTTCAGAAAGCTCTCTCAACGTGTCTGATATATATCACTGGACCGTACTGTCCTGTCGACCCCACATTTTAAGCCCCACATTTTTTATGAATGGGCTGGTTGTGAGGGACTGGCTGAGGCAGCACATTAACAGAAAACGGAATCTCCATTCATGATTTGGACTGACTGAGAGCTGTGCTTAATGCAGCCTTTACAGAGATGTTGTTTTCTACCTCATTTATCTTTCTTTCCTTCTTTTTTTCTTTCTTTCTTTTTTATATCTCTTTCTTTATTTCTTTCTTTCTATCTTTCTTTCACAAATAGTACTTTTTCTTTAACTTTTTTCTCTTTCTCTGTTTTCTTTTGGCTATTCATTCTCCTTTGCTTATGCCTTCTAACAATTTACAACATGTGTATGTTACCATTATTCAATATTATTCATATCAATTAATTAAAAAAGTCATTATATGTTATTGCTACTTTAACTTATTGACATAACCATGTTTCAACTTAATTTTAATACATTATAAGTACACCAAAAACAAATCTATCTTTAAAATTCACATTATTAATAGGAAGCTATACAATGTGCTATACAATGAGCATGCACATTAGATTAGTCAGCACTGAAGCCAAATCTGGAGCTTATCTAACAAAATAACTTACGGTCCAAAAACTAGTCACCCAAATTTATATGGCATAGAAAAATAGTAAATACAAATTTTAAAAAGAGGGAAAATTAAAACTCGCAGAAAAAAAATATTAATAATAATAATAATAATAGTTTAGTTTTTGTAGATTGTATTTTTTAATTTTTGGAATATTTAGCTTGAATTTAATTGTATAATCTTTTAAATTTGTAAATAGGTTTGGCGAATTAAATATTAATTGAAATAAATATGTCTGTTTAATAAATCTGTTTTGTTTAAATGGACCAAAATACATTGCCTATATTCAGTGAGAAATAAATAAAAAGATTCATTTTCAAAATGGGGTGTACTGAATTATGCTAAGCACTGTACATAACAGATTCAGTTTGATGTTTTAAGCATGTTTGATGTATTTTAGGTTAAAATTATTTGTAATGTTACCTTAAATCAACTTTAAAAATTTAAGAACAACTATTTACCAACCCATATATATTTTACATTTTTAAAAAAAAAGTTATTTCAATAGTACATTTTATTAAAAATGTTACTATAATGATGTATTTTTAACCAAGATTAAGACAATATTTTAATAGGATTTAAAAATTTCATATAAATTATAACATGACATAAACAATATTATTGCATTTAGTTTTACCATTCTTTGTTCTGAAGTTACAAGTCCTAAACCTTCATAAGATGAATGTTTTTCAACACCGGCCGGTTGCGATGTTTCTAAAATGATGTTTTAGGATGTTTTTGTAGGTGGATAAATGCCAGACTGTATACCTGCCAGTAAACAGCAGCTCAGACGCTTATGTAAAACATGAATTGCCTGTTGCCCGTTCTGCTGTTGGAACAAGTTAGAACAACCACTTCACAGGCTGGGGTAGCAGCCGAGACTCTGAATGGACGGCAGTGTGTATTTTACTGCATCTGTGAGGATAGAAACAGCGGGGCAAACACGCTAAACCAAGCCAGGAAATTGTCTTTTCTTCCTCCTCTCAAAGAGGGTCTCTTTTTCTCTCCTCTCCTGCTGATAGAAAAGTAATGGAGGCTATCATAGAACATATGTAACATAACACATACACACATCAGAGACTTCTTGACAGCGTTTGGAGACACAGAGTCTTCTCCAGATAAATAGTGCAAGTCATCGCTGGTCTAAATCACTTAGCTCAGTCTATCGTTTCAGCATAATCTCAGCCCATTTCTGCTGAAACACAACAGGCAGAGTCTCGTATCGAAAAAGCAATGATGGATCCATTGATCCAGGGTGATCTCAGGAGTAGATCAGGCACCTCAAGGAAAAAAGCTTGAGTGTTTTCCCTATCTCTCCCTGTATAATTAAGATATCAGCCCAGATGGGACTCGGTGAGACAAGTCTCTGTAGAAATGTATTTCTCACCGGCTTGACAGAAAGTCAATGAGCAGGTGTTATCTCCCTCAGAGATAAAAACGTCTCTCTCTACACGTCTCCATTCCCTACAGTAGAGTTCATTATATAATTTCTGCAATGAGCAGAAAATCAATATGTGCATTAAACATTAAGAGTGGACTGTGATCTGTTGAGAGCTGATGAATGTGAGGTTGAGAGTTTGATTACTCTTTCCACATGAACAAGCGTATAAAACACTATCATGTTGCCATGGATGACATCATTGTATAAGGTTTACAGATTGTGGTCATCCACCTTTGCATTTTCACTTTCGCCTATATATGTTTATCTTTTGGGAATGATAAAATATAGTTTGATTCATCTTTGGGCGCGGTGGGTAGCACTGTCGTCTCACACCAAAAAGGTCGCTGGTTCGGTTTCCCCCACAAGTCCCAAGACATGCGTTCCATGCGACATTCACATGTGTGTGAAAGAGAGAGTATGGGTGTTTCCCAGTAATGAGTTGTAGCTGGACAGTAACCCGCT